ATCTGGGACTACAGGCACCTGCCACCACACCTGGCTAATTTTTGTATTTTTAGTAGAGACAGGGTTTCACCATATTAGCCAGGCTGGTCTCGATCTTCTAGCCTTGTGATCCATCCGCCTTGGCCTCCCAAAGTGCTGGGATTATAGGCGTGAGCCACTGCGCCTGGCCAGCATTGACTTTTCAATAGGAACACTAGCATCCAGGAAACAACAGCCTGGAGATTCTGAGGGCAAATGATTTCCGACCTAGAACCCTCAGTTAGGGGTCAGATGGGCTAGAAGCATAGAAGGAGTCAAAGCATTTACATCGCCTACACCCCTGTGCTGCAAGCTCCTGGGGACGTGCTCCACTAAAACAGGGAATGACCAAAGGAATGAGCAAAGCGCAAACAACTCAGACAGGGCTCCCGGAGGCATGTTTCAAGGAAGGAAGAAACGGGACCGACTCATGAGCCTGAGGACTTCATCCTCCCGTGGGGTGTGTCATGGTTCTGTCAGAGTTTGGACCAGGGTAATGGATGGGGACATAGAGAAGCGAGCAAATTTTAAAAAGAAAACAAGAAATCACCGGGCGTGGTGGCTCATGCCTGTAATCCCAACAATTTGGGAGGCCGAGGTGGGCGGATCACCTGAGGTTGGGAATTCGAGACCTGCCTGACCAACATGAAGAAACCCTGTCTCTACTAAAAATACAAAATTAGCCAGGTGTGGTGGAGCATGCCTGTAATCCTAGTTACTTGGAAGGCTGAGGCAGGAGAATCACTTGAATCCAGGAGGCAGAGGTTACGGTGAGTTGGGATCGTACCACTGCACTCCAGCCTGCTGACAAGAGTGACATTCGTCAAAGAAAAGAAGAGGAGAGGACAGGAGGGGAGTGGAGAGGAGGGGAGGTGAGGGGAGGGGAGAGGAGAGGCAGGAAGGCAGGAAAGGGAAAGAAAAGAAAGGAAGGGAGGAAGGGAAGGAAGGAAGGAAGGAAGGAAGGAAGGAAGGAAGGAAGGAAGGAAGGAAGGAAGGAAGGAAGGAAGGAGAGAAAGAAAGAAAAAGAAATGTGATTATAGTACACAATCATGTCAGCAGTGATATAAATGAAGCCATAAATTAGAATGTAACTGTCGTGGCCACTGAGGTGAACCAAGAAGACCTCCTTTCAAAGAACAATCTTGAGGGACGTATTCCCACTTCTGCATCCCTGACTGTCTTAGTGGAAAGGTCCCCTCCCCTGGGCAGCTGTCAGCCAATGGCTGGGCAGGGCAGGAAGACTGGCGTGGCCATTGCTATTCACTGCAGGACTTCTCCAGTGGGCGCTCTGTTCTCTGGGTCTCCCCATGGACCTGATGGTGAATTTCTCAGGACTACACTGAAGCCTGAAGCTTTCCGACTCAACCTCCTCCCTTGCTGCTCTCCTTCTTAGGCTCCATCCTTCACAGGCATCCTGCCCAGGAGATATTCTGTATTTCTAATTCTGTCTTGGGAAATCAAACTGTCAGAGGATCAAACTAACACAATCACTATATTAGGAGAAGAGAAGAAGGAAAATTGGAAAGCAGTGTTAGGTTCTTCTAGTTTAGATGTAGTATCCCTTCACCAACCTACAGCCCAACCCTAGCCCCTCTCCCCAAACTCACTCCTCCCTGTTGTCAGAACGTGGCTGGAGCCACTGGTTCTAAGTGTAGCTCATTTCTCTGCCAGAGAAGACGCCCTAAAGCTGTAACCAGAGAGCACCTGAAGAATACACTCATGTATCCCAAGGAGGAGACAAAGTGATCCCAAGCCAACTGCTTCCCAACTTTATCTGGGGACTCCTTGCCAGAAAGCGTACGATTTGTTTATAGTGTAGTGAGGATTTACTTCTTTTTTCTTCAGAGAGGTCAGCAGCTGGTCAAACTAGTCAAACGCTGTCCTCCCACATGGCTAAACGCACTGAAAGAAGAGGACGGGGACAAAGAGCAGAAAGAGATGATTGCAAGTCAGCTCCCTGCTCCTCCTCTCCCCTACCTCCCCCGCAGCTGCGACCACTGCTCTGCGGCCACCTGGGTCTTGAGGCAGCAGCCCCAAAGGCCCCCAGACTCCTGCTACATACCTTCCTTCCAGAGCAGTCAGGCTGGGTGGAATGTAGGCAGGGAGGTAGCAGGTGTGTGCGTGAGTATGCCCATGTGTGTGCACATGACAGAAACCACACACCATCACAGCACAT